TTAGTACTTTATTTTTGTGGTAAGTACAAGTGGAGGATCACCTTTATTTGGCCTATTTGATCCAGACACTGTAAATCTACAAGCATATAAGAATCTAATGTTGCATGTAGTGATCTGACCCTTTTGTTCACAAGCCGGGTACTTCTGACATGAGGGATGCCTTCTGCCTCTTCCCTTATGTTGTTATGTGTAAGATCAGACACACTTGCCTTTTGTCACACTCGCCTCAGCATGCTTTGGTGGCGTCTATAGTCGGTATTAGATGACCCCAGCCGACTTCTACTCTAATGTAGAATGTGTTGACAATATGCCCGATGGGCTCTGTTGTTGAGGCAGCCCGTTCTTTCATAGCTGCCAGTATCTCCTCCACCTCAGCCTTCCCAGGGACAGCATGATGTCTGTGGATGGGCTTTTGCCATTTCGCAATTTCCCCACTAATTAATGGTGTGAACCTAGGCGCCACAAGTTCTATATTAACATCTAAAACAATTTTGACGTGATGGATCCTGTCCGGGGTTTGGTATAAATCTTTATGATTTTCTTAGATGTTCACCCCTTTGTTCTTTTATGATCCTTTAGGTTTGGGTTAATCGAGGTTTGAATAAGATATACATAACAGTTTGTTCACTGTATTATTCAAAATATATACACAAATACACAATACACAAAACGAAAGATAAATTGTTCAGAAGAATAAGATGCCTTATTCAGTAAATACAGAAAAGAAATGTACAAAGACACTTTGATTAATAATTTTCCAATAATGTGGATTGCAGGTCGGGCACTCAGTATGGGCCAGCGCCCACGAACAGATGCGACTGTAGATTTGGGGGGGCGTCTGGTCTGGGATTACACCCCACGACATGAGGCATAGGTGACCTGATTTGGAGAGTTTTGGGCTGCTCAAGTTCACACAAATGTCATACATAGAGACTGGAAATAAATCAGTAAAGTTAATTTCACTTATTTCACTTATTGCACTAATTTCAGTATCATATACCCTTTCCAATGGGTAAACTTAAGAGTCTAAACCAACTTCCAGTAATTTCACATACAGTTGAAAAATAGCAAATAAAACCGTAATTTACTTACATGAAGTGAATGGGTGAAGAGATCGGAGCCAAGTGGCAGGTCGTGCTATCGTGGTCGCCGACGTTACTTTTGTTTCGGGTTCGTGAACCGTCGACGAGGATACGCAAATGGCTCGACCACCCGAATCCTCTCACACACACACACACACAATCACTCATTAACACAGGGAAACCATCACCAACCCTTTACAAAAGCCCCCTATTTCGACTTAAATCTCGTCGATTTAAGAACAAGGTGGGGTTTCACTTTCTTCTAATGAACAACGACTTAATATATCTGCTCCTACATTTTCACTACCTTTAATATATTCTATATCAAACGAGTACGACTGCAATGCTAAAGACCATCGCATGAGTCGACCATTACCATTTTTCATGTTACGCAGATATACAAGTGGCTGTTGGTCTGTTTGGAGCACAAATTCACGTCCGTACAGATAGTATTTGAATTTGTTAATTGCCCAGACGATACTTAAACATTCACGCTCAATAACAGCGTATCTCTTCTCGCGGTCTGTAAGAGCTCGGCTGGCATATGCAACTGGCATTAGTATGCCTTCAGATTTCTGTAGGAGAATCGCGCCTAACCCAGTGTCGGACGCATCAGTTCTTACGTAAAAGATCTTTTCAAAATTTGGTAAAACTAGAATAGGCGTATTAGCTAGCCTGTATTTAAGAATGTTAATCCTTGAGATTTGCTCTTCATTCCATTCAAGTTTATTACTTCGGAATTTCTTCAGGAGATCATTAACAGGAGAGATTATATCAGCTAAATTCGGGATGAATTTGCGGTAAAAAGAAACTGTGCCTAAGAAAGATCGTAATTGTTTCTTCGTGCGGGGGAGAGGTAAATCGAGAATTGCTTTTACTTTGTCTTCAAGAGGGGTCAAGCAATTATTTCCTAGATGAAATCCAAGGTATTTAATCTTATCATATCCAAAGAAGCATTTACTTGGTCCTGCTGTTAAACCATATTTACGCAATCTTTCGAATAAGCGTTCGAGATCTAGCAAGTGATCAGACCAGGAATTACTATGAACTACTATATTGTCAAAATAGCAATCTATATTGTTCAGGCCATGCAATACTCTTCGCATCAAACGCACGAACGTTGCACAGGCGGTTTTTAAGCCAAATGGTAATCTAGTGAACTGCATCAACCCTCGGTTGGTAGCAAAAGCAGTGTAAGCTTTAGCACGTTCTGACAGCGGTATCTGCCAGTAGCCTTTGCATAGATCGATTTCCGAGAATATGCAATCGCCGACAAAGTTTCCCAGCGCTCCATCGAGAGTAGGCATTGGCTCCGAATCGAAAAGACTGACATCATTAAGCGCTCGGAAGTCTACGCAAAACCGCCAAGTATTGTCAGATTTCTTTACGAGAACCACGGGCGAACAATAGGGTGAATCGGAGGGTTCAATTATTCCTAACTTCAGCATTTGCTCCACTTCATTTTCAAAGGTTTTCAGTAAATGATGAGGAACAGGATAGGGCTTACGATGAACTGGAATGTCGGTAGTTAATTTGATGTCATGGATAACCGCACTAGTTATACCGGGCTCATCAGAGAACACGTCAGAATATTTATCAAGTAGTTCATTCAGTTGACCTTTTTCTTCAAAATCGAGATGGTTACTTATGTTAAACTTGCTTTCAGCTTGGTCTAGAACAGCTATGCTACAAGTATCTTTGGCTACTTCACTATCATCCACTATACACATACGACAAACCTCTTTACTCTTATCTTCGCCTTCTCTTCTTACGTATTTCTTAAGCATATTTACATGGTAGAGTTTGATTTTACCCTTAGTTTTCACCAGATAATCTACACCATTCTCATGGCGCTTAATTACAGAAAAAGGGCCTTTACACTGCATCGTTAGCTTATTGTGTGTTGAAGGCAGCAAAACAAGTACCTCGTCTCCTTCCGCAAAAACGCGACGTTTAGCGCTTCGGTCAAAGTAACTCTTATACAGTTTACTATTAATATCTGCATGTGCAGATGCAAGTTGTGCAGATTCTTCTAATTTTAATCTTAAGTCAAGCACATACTGATATGTCGTCTTCACATCGTCCTCTAAGCAAGAGTTAGTCCACAGATCATGCAAAATAGATAGTGGTCCGCGCACCTGACGACCATACAGTAGTTCGAAAGGCGAGAATCCCAAGGTATCATTAGGGATTTCGCGGTAAGCAAATAAAACGGAGGGAATATATCTATCCCAATCACGGGGCTTTTCGATACATAGCTTCTTAAGCATTGACTTAAGGACGGCATGGAATCTTTCTACGGTTCCATTGCAACATGCGTGATAAGGACTCGTAAAGATGGCTTTGATGGATAACAAGCGGTTTATCTCTTTCATCAAATCCGATTTAAATTGTGTTCCTCGGTCAGACAACATCTCTTTCGGTATGCCAACTCTAGAAAAGATATTGACGAGATTTTCAGCCACAGATACCGTATCTATGCTCCTTAAAGGAACTGCCTCGGGAAATCGCGTTGCGCAGTCAATGACGGTCAGTATGTACTTATGACCACGTTCTGAGGGAATGAGTGGGCCAACGAGATCGATAGCTACTCTGCTGAAAGGTTCGCTTATTATTGGCATCGATACTAACGGCGCTTTGCGTATTTTGCCTTTAGGTGTAGATTTTTGACATACGTGACAAGACCTACAGTATCGTTTTATGTCCGAACCAGCTCCAGGCCAGAAAAATTTCCTGAAGATTTTATCAGCAGTTTTCCGATGAGAAAAGTGTCCGGAAACAACGGAATCATGAGCGGTTGACAGTATGTATTGTCGAAAACTACTTGGCACGACTAACTGCTTTCTCCCGATTTCATGATTATGCTTACTCGAAATACACTTTCTGTAAATAATGCCGTCAACTTCCTCATACTTGACAGTTCTGTTTTTTACATTTACTGTCGAGTTATTAGCAACTTTATTTCTTATATCCCTCAATGTCTGACATTTACTTTGGGCATCAATTATATCTGTCTTAGAGATGTCCTTAAGAGATAAATCGGGGACAACAAGTGGTACGCTTGCTTCCGCTCTCATTTTAGAATTACGCGTTTGAACGCCCATGATGATATTTGTATTATCACAGTCTGATTTTACTTCATTTGGTATGTCAACGGAAGGCGCTTTTACTCCCGGTACCATTCCTATGAGGATGTCTGTAAATTTAATGGGGGCTGCAACAGCATTGACCCATCCTGTCAAGAAATCACTCTTAATATAGCATCTTATGCGAGGGAAATTTCTTCCTACTCCCAAGTAATCGTAAAGCGTAACTAATTTTCCTTTCTTTACATGAGGGGGGACAAGATTATCTCTAATTATTATGGTAGAACATCCAGAGTCAAAATGAGCATCCACTGGCTTATTAAAAAGTAAAGCCTTCCCAGTAACACTATTCTTCGGTGTGAGATCAGACTCTAAGACAAAGTTTACTTTATTAGGAGGACACTTCATACCAGTACGTGATTTTAAATCAGGGCAATTGGGACGAATATGACCTGCCTTGTTACAACTATGGCACACAACACCTGCTGAGATAGATAGCTTCTCGCTAGTTTCACTCTTAGAGTAATTCACGTACTTAGTTTTGAGCCTTCTATGAGCAGACCTAAATCTATCGGCTGCTTGTGCCATTTCAGTTACTTTATTAAATATCCTCTCTTTTAGGAACACCCTAAGATCGGTAGGACAGTTGCTTAGCAATTGATCTTGCACTAGAAATTCGCATAGTTCATGGTAATCCTCTTTCACATTGCTTAAAGCGAGCCAGTTCGACAAATACTGCTCCATCCGCGAGACTAATTGGATGTAGGTCTCGTTTTCCCCTATTCTACTTTCTCTGAATTTCTTTCGATAGGACTCTGCGTCAACTGAGTAG